GTCCGTCCCTCCCTCGCTCTCGCCGCCCCGCTCACTGTCCGTCCCTCAGTTCCGTGGCCCCCTATTGCAAGCCGTACCCTGGGGGACTGATACTAACAGAGGTGCTGACCTGTTTGTGTGTGACTCTAGGCCGAAGAGGAGGCCCGCAGGAACCGGCTCATGCGAGACATGGCCCAGCTCCGGTTGCAGGTGAGTGCTTGGGTGTCTGTTTCTGTGTGGAAGATGTCCGTTTCCCTTTGCTGCTGTACCGTCCTGCAACCTGCCCTGGGCGTTCATAGACCGTGGCAAATATACTGAAGGAAGATGAGAATTTCTCTAGCGCCTCTTACAGTCTGTGGACAGCGCAAAGCCAGAAGCGTGGGTGCTGTTGGAATGTCTGAGACTTGACGGTTAGCTGGTACAAAGAAAGATCCCACAAATAGTGATAATAACCCAGGCCATTTTATTTATCTCTCATCAGGGATAAAGGGTCTGAGGAGCTGCTGCTTAGTCCCAGTGGCTGTGGGATCTTACACATCTGTCCAACTGGGGGCCTTGTTTCATTGTCTCAGTCGGTAAATGGCACCTTTGCCAGTCTGGTGCTCCCTTGGCGCTGACCCTCTGACAGTGCCCGCTGCCTTGGCGCTGACCCACCGGCGCGGCGCTCCCTCTGTGCTGACCCTCCGGCACGGCCGGATCTGAATCCGTTGTCTCTCTCTCTCTCTCTCTCTCTCTCTCTCTCTCTGTCTCTGTCTGTCTGACTATCTCTCTCTCTCTCTGTCTGACTCTCTCTCTCTGTCTCTGTGTCTCTCTCTCTGTCTCTGTGTCTCTCTCTGTCTCACTCACAGCTGGAAGTCTCCCAGTTGGAAGGAAGCCTCCAGCAGCCAAAGTGCCAGTCCACCATGTCTCCGTACCTGATACCCAACACCCAGGCCATCTGCCAGCAACTGGGCAGCATCCGGCAGCTGGCGAACAGCGGGCGGTTCATTATCATCATCCCGCGGACAGGTAGGTGCCCGCGCTGCTGCTGAGCCTGGCGTCCGGGCGACTGGGATCTCGCTGCCCGTTCGACGTGCACTCCGTCGCCAAGGGAATGTGGGGAGAAATAGAACTGAGCTGTAAACTACGCTGTGAGGCCTCGCAGCTCTTCACAGTCAGTTCATTCCATTTACGTAGAGGGTGATGTACTGGTGTTGGATGGGAGCAGTGTAGTGGGAGCTTTATGCTGTATCTAACCCTGTGCTATCCCTGTCCTGGGAGTGTTTGATGGGAGAGACAGTGTAGTGGGAGCTTTATGCTGTATCTAACCCTGTGCTATCCCTGTCCTGGGAGTGTTGGATGGGAGAGACAGTGTAGAGGGAGATTTACTGTGTCTAACCCCGTGATGTACCTCTCCTGGGAGTGTTGGATGCCGCTGATGTTCCTGTCCTGACCACTTCCCCCACCCCCACCCCCCAGTCACTGGGTGAGGACAGTGACAGTGAGAGTCCTGCAATGCCATGTTGTAATTTCCTGTGCCACTGTTGTTGCCCTCCAGTAATCGATGGGTTGGATTTCCTTAAGAAAGAGAACTCGGGAGCGCGGGATGCCATTCGTTTCCTGGAGTCGGAGTTCAAGAAGGGAAATAGGTGAGCACAAGCGCGGTTTGGAAAGAGGAAAAACCAGCTGGAGTCAGCTCACCTTGGCCTGCATTATTCCCATTGCTACTGCTTACCTGAGTCAGGATAGTTGAGGGGTTCAGTGTAGTTTATATGTTGCTTAACAGATACCCAGGAGTGAGTTAGAGACTGGAATCTAATCGAGGGGTTCGGGGTGGTTTATATACAGAATAACAGATACCCCGG